GGCGAGGGTCGCGGGGCGGAGGGCGGCCGCCCCCCGCTCTTACCTTCCGCCGTCCTGCCCGTGCTGAACTCCTTCAGTTTGTCCTTGTCGCTCTCTACGTGGTCTTTGAAAAGATGGACCGGGCAATGGTTGCTGCTCTCGGTCATGTCCTGCAGGTTAGAGTCAGAGTTTCCAAGCTCCCTAGAGCGAGCCAACCCACTCTCCAAAACTTCCCTGTACGTGATCGTCTCCTTCTTGTTGCTGCTGCCACTGCCGCTGCTGCTCTCTTTGCTTTTCTGGTCAAAAGATTTGGATACAAAAGCCGTAAGTTCTTCCATGGCTGCCCGGTGATCTTATCCACAGAGATCCACTTGTTTTCAGTCGGCGATGTGGCCGTCCTCCGCACGCTGTTTTTGCACGTAGAAGATGGGCTGTATAGGGTTAGATCACTCCTGCTGTTATTTATGCCTTTCAATTTGAGATCACACTATTTATACATGGCTACCTCAGCCCAACCCCCAGCTCTCCCTGTCTCCAGCAATTACTGACTGCTCCATAGTCGCAGGCGGACTCCTAGCAGCTATCTCCCCCACCTCAGTCCAGCAATTGGCTTTCTTTTCATTTCATCACTCTTTGGCATCTTTGCACCTTGATTTAGGGAGGCAAAGAGGCAAAAGCGAAAAAGAGGGGGAGCGAGCGAGAGGAATAAAGGAGGGGGGGCGGTGAAGAGGAAAACATGAAAATAGGTATCTGCATTCTGTAAACGGGTTGCAGAAATGAAAGTCGAGGAAGACTTAATTGATTGTAAGGACATCCTGTGCGTGGCAACACCGTGAGTAAAAACGGACCCGCAGCTAATCAAATAACTGTGCTCCTGCAATTAAATGTATCGCTGTCAAGAGGAAAAGAAAATGAGTGTTCAATAAAAAAGGTAATGAATAAAAAGCCGGAGATGTGCATTTGTTGTAATCATTGGAAATTCTACCTGATTTGCTATGTAGCTCATTTCGCTTAATTAAATGGTCAAAATAATCAGCGAACCAAAAATGCTGTTTTGAAAGTGGTGCCTGCTCTGGCGGGTGGGTGGGTGGGTGGGTGCGCGGAGGGGGACGTGTGTTGCAGTTAAACAACTTGCGAGGCGTCTCGGAGATCCGTGTCGGTGCGTTCGGAGGATTTGGAGGGGGTTGCTTGGCTGGGGTTTGGGTGGGGGGGTTTTTTTTTTTTGTGTTTTTTTTTTTTTTTTTTTTTTTAGTCATAGGTAGGGGGGCTCTCCAGATGCGTGTAAACATTGCGGGGGCTGTTTTCTTGTTTACCGTTATTATGTCGTCTGAAGATACTGTTGGGGAAAATGAAAATCTAAAATGTTTCTTTGGATGTAGCGCTACCCTGTCGCGTGCACTGGAGGGGTAATTTGTTAACACGAGAGTTTGCACACGACAAATAGAGCATTAAATCGTCTTTTTTTTTTTTTTTTTTTTTTTTTAAACGAAACATATCCCGCCGGATTTAAGATAGGACCGGCAATAATTTCCCCACCTTGCTCGTGGTAGGCTGCTGGTATTTTTGTTGTACTCCCGGAATCATTACGATTCCGTGCGCTCGAATAGCTGCCTGAAATTCATCTCCAGATAGCAGCGCCGGCATTTCTAGCCTCGATCCGCAAGCGGAGCCGACTTCCCAGCTATTTATTTCTATCTGCGCTCCTCGGGCTGCAACGCGAAGGGGTATTTGCTATTCGGAGGAATTTTGTCTTCTGGTCGTTTGGCTTTTTACGTCCTTCTCATTCCCTCGCCTCGAGTTTTGAGATAACCGGAGCCCACCGTCACGCCACCAGAGAGGGCTCCGCGCTGGAGCCGGGGGCCATTGTTTCTTTTCCGGGGGAGCGTGGGACTGCTCTGAAAATTAGCAGAACATTAAACCACTAAAAATACGTTTAATTAATCCAAAGGTGCCCCCAGCACCAGAGTTAGCACCTCCACAGGAGGAGGGGAAAAAATAATAATCGAGGAAGCAATTAATAAAGGGCTTTAAAAAAAAAAAAAAAAGAAAGAAAAATCAATCTCCCCCTGTGCGAATTTAAAATGATTATCTAGGGGACAAGGATTGATCATTTGATCTCGGCACTGCGGATATCCCTGACATTTATTATATCGCTGTGTCTCGGTGGCATCCTTCCTCCGGAGTTCATTTAACCGGTGAGGGAGCCGAGGAAGCCCTTACAACTTAACAAACAGGTCTTGTCATCGCAAACGCCAATCAAATCCCAGGCTCTAATGTATATCACACGGCACCACATAAATAATAAAGGCAAAGGGTAGACGTGGAAGCAACGTATGGCGAAGAAAAGACGGGGGCACGGCGCGCTGCCCGCTGCCTCTCCCGTTCCCGGGCTGGGTGTGCAAAGGCCCGGCGGCGGATTCCCGCGCAGGGGGGTGGCGCGGGCACACGCACACGCGCGG